TTTCACTCCTTTAACGATTTATTTTGGATGGAAACTTGCTAGTCTTGTATGTATTCTACTGTTGATTTTCTCAATTTCCAGGATGGGGTAGGTAAATGGTGATGACTAGGTTCTCGACTTCTACGGTTAACCGTTACTTGCAATATTTATGGTATGTGGGTGTAGATGTGCTGGGCTGTAAGTAGTACTACTTTCTTACAGGGAAGGTGATTATTGTGGTTTATGCTTTACCAACTTTGGTAATGGGTGGTTGTGTTTATTGTTTTAATGTCTAGGGTTTTGAAAGACTTATGATTACCATGCTAGCTTTGATTTAGCATTTTAATCATAGGCTTCATTTCTGTAATGTGGTTACCCCTTTCATTATATCAATGAATAACTTCTTTTAAACAAAAAGCAAGCACAAAAAGAAAATTACAATATCGAATATCAGTATAGAATCCAGAGAAGGAACCTCATGCAATAATTTTTGTAATAAATCAGTTGGTTTCCTTGCAGACAATAATAAAATTTTCTTCAATAATACAAGATAAGAATGTCACATTGGCTTCGATTTCTAAAGACTACATCTTACAAAAAATTCCTTAAATTAATGACAATTAATTAGAACAAGTTTAAGAAAGGAAAAAAGGATGGAGAAAGCAAAAAATTAGTCTAATTGTGTTTGAAAGGTCAACAAGCATGCATTCTTTTCTAGGGTCAAATGTGCATTTTTCATAGGAAGAAAAAGTTGTGTTTGTGCAAAAGGGCTATATCTCCATATTGAATTCAGGCAACAAAACAACATGGATCTTAAAAAATAAGTATAATCTACAGTCATGAAATATATCTATATATCTATATATCTATATATATATATATATATATTCAGAAGCCAAGAGAAAACCCTTTCCTGACGAAAAGTAGTAATTATGGCTTGAGATCCAACCCATTGCAATGCATTCCATCCGTCCTCGGAATTAATGTTGTAAATGATTCAATATCAAATGTTTGATTATGATGCCATTGATAAGGCCAATGGCATTTCACTCTCATGAGAAGTAACAGATATATCGTTTGAACTGCTTGAGGAAGAGCTACCCGGTCTCTTCATATTTCCTTCCTCCCGGATATGATCACCATTTTTCTCATTACCAATCACCATAGCTTCACCAAATTGAACCTGCCTTCCGTCATTCTCTGGAGAACTCTCTGGAGATTTTGTGCTGACATCAAGAATTTGTGCCTCGTTAATATCATTAACAGTTGCAGCTGCGCCGCCTCCTCCGCCACCATGGTCGCCGCCACCTCTGTGGACACTACCATTAACATACAAGCTACCAATTACCATCCTGAATCCAAAGGCCCTCGAAGTTATCCGATAAATTACGGTTGTGATCCAAAATATCCAAGGCAGGCAAACAAGGGTAAAACCAAGAGCAGGCAGCAATACAGAGGATTGTGAATCAGGAATGGTCATGTAAGCCAAAAGGCAGCCACCTCCAGCAGCTATACAAATAAACAAAATGCAACTGATGGTCCATATGTATGCGCGGCCAGCCTTGGGATCTGGTTCAGGCATTTGGGAAATCTACGAGAAGGTTCAAATAATCTGAGTTTCTTTGTCATCATGATCCATGTTGTTGATTACTGGGATCGGAAGGATGGATCCATTTAGGGATGGGATTTTGCTGGGCGCTTTGTTGGTGAAGATGTTGTTGCAGGGCTATGGTGGGATTATCCTAGGTTAGGTTAGAACTTAGACGTGTTCAAAAGTTTGTTTACGTAAAATATGGTTAATTTGTGTGAAAACCACAAGGAGACTACGGAGGGAGGGGGGGAAAGAGAAAGATAACGTGTTTGGTTTATATTATATTTTTGTTCATGCAATACCTTGATGTTCGCCTCCTATGACTGCCAATTTACACTTTAAATTATTAGCTTGTCACTTTTGTCGACATAATTTCTGGCTGTATATCAAGTGAGGATGGTAAATTTCAGCATCAAGGAATTCTGGTATTGATTATCAGTGTGTTGTCGCAGAGTTAAATAATAGATTTTCAAAATTATGATTGAAATTTATTTTATAAATTAATCATACATTTTTTGTATGCACTAACATGTGTTTATTTTGTTGTTTTCATAAGTATAGATTGAAATTTTTTTATATTTAATTATTTTTGAACAAATTATTTAAATTTTAAATTTTCACAGAAAATATTTAAGAATAAAATGAGAAGAAAAAACAAAAAAAGAAAACAATATAAGGATAAAAAGTTTCATTTTTTTTTCTTCCTCCTTCCTCCCTTTGTTTCTTTTACCATAAATCTAAAACATTTTGGTCACATTAAAAATGCATGCTTGTAAACATTTTTTTTTTCAAAAATAACAAATCACAATATTTTTTCAAAGTATTTGCTTAAATATTTTGGCAAAAACGGTGAAAAGATAACACTTAATTAAGTAATAATATATAAGTTTTATATATTGATATTTAATCAAATATAAACTCTCAATTAAAATGATATGCTTGGTAATCAATCCTTTGCTTCTTTACTTTAAAAAAAGCAAGCCGTTACCAGATGGTTGCACTAGAACAAATTTATCTTCTTTTTTTTAAAAAAAAAAAAAAACTTGTGCCACAAAAAAATCTTTGAAGCAGCACTCTTTCAACACTTTCAATGGCATTTTCAAAAATTTGGCTACCCTTTATAAGTTTTAGCAGCATTTTCAATAACAAAAGCAGCTAAAGAGATTTTGCATACACTAATGATGATTGCATTTGTACAATACCTGTTCAATTTGAGAAAAAAAAAAAACTGCAACTAAAATTCAAATAGCAAACACATTTCTAGTTTTCACTGCAAATATAAGAACAAGCCATAAAAAGAATGTGTAGCAAAAATTTAAAAAAATATGATGCATTCAATGTAAAGAAAAGCTAAAGAGGAACCAAGCTCATTATCTCTATACATACATATTTCTCCAATAGAATAGAACTGTTCTGGTCCCACTAATTATTTAATATTAAATTCAATCTAGAAGGTTAATACAAGTATAAGAAAAGAAAAATTAACTTACATCTTAGGGCCAAGAAGAGAATATCGTTGAGCTGCTAAAGATGTGCAGTGAGGTTTATAAAATGAGAATGCATTGGTAGCCCAAGAATGATACAAAAATAAATGTGGTAGCCTAATGTAAATTCACTCCAAAGTGCTTCAACATATTATTCAAGAATAAATGTGGTAGTTACAGACTGAATATTCATGCTACTTACAGACGGTGTTAAATGATACAAAAATAACCTAAGTGCCAAGATAAAATATTGATAATATACACTTAAAATTTAAGAAGTAGATAAAAAAGGGAAAAAACTAACCTCCAATTCTTGGTCCCAATGCAGAACTATAGCCTCCAAAAATCTTCAAAACACTAGGTCTTCGAGACTATAAGTTCAAATTATAGTGAGACATGCATGTTAAAGAGTCCACATCCCATCTGCATTTCCATGCTCCTAAATTTTTCCTAACTTGCAACGATAGTGAGACATGCATAAGTTCAAATTAGTTAAAGGGGGCTTACATTCTGCTGCTAATTGCTAACTGTCTCTGTTAATGTATCAGACATGTTTTCAACGGTATCTGCCATGACAGAAGCAAGCATCTGGTGTCTTTTCTGTTCTTGACCTTTCCTTCGGTTGGTTTCAAGGATGATCATAAGAGCGGTTATGTCAGCAGGACTTACCCCACCCACTCTGCTTGCTTGACCAATAGTTTGCGGCCTGACCTGTTAGGATTAAAATTTCAAGTCAATTACAAATTGATCAAACCTCAACTGCAGAGAACCAGATTTCACAAAATTTTGAACAATTAATCCAGGCAAATTCTCAATTGTGAACTCAGTCCATGAGTAAATTAGTTTGAGCCACAACACAAGTTAATTCAGGTTAATGGTTGTGTCTTCAAGCCACTCTGGGTAAAACTGGAAAAGTAATATCACCAAATATTGTTTGAGTGTGAAACATTGTGAAGCCAACCACACACACACACATAGATGATCACACATTAATCACTTGCCAAGTTACTTTCGACTAGATGACCGCCTAAAAATGATCCCCAAAAGGAAAGAATTTCCAGTCCATCTTTTATAGCAAGAACTGAAACATGAATGTTTCACCTTGGAGAGTTTTTCACGTGCTTCATGAGACAAAGTTGTCATTGCATAGTAATCCAAGTCCTCTGGAAGCTGTCTATGTTGTTTATGGACCATCTGCAAGCACAACAAAGACAAGGATTGAAAATTTGACAAACAAAAAAAAAGGCAACATTTTTCATAAATAAATCCCTCCCTAAATTATATCGATGTAAATGATTGTAGATAGAGGTGGATACCTTGAGCTATGGTGCAATAGAATGATGTTTCAGGCTGTAACCATAAATTCATACCTGTTGGAGTTGGATTTGTTGGCGAATAATGAAGCCCTCATACTTTATATCAATTTCAACACATTCTTTCTCTGATCTTGATAACATTGTGTCCCCAAATCCATGTTTATCAAGAATTTTATATTCTATGTGTGGTTTCTTAAGAAGACTCTCTAGTGTTGAAGAGTCCTTCACAGGTTGACCAGAAAGAAGAGAAACATCAGCAGCCAAATCTCCACCTGAAAGCAACCAGAAAATGTTCCCCATTTTAGAATTCCAACAAGTCACAAACTTCTACTATTACTTATTATAATATCAAGGATTACATCAAGTTGAGCTCAAATTAATGATGAAATTTGATGCAAAGAAGAATTCAACTGTCAACCATACTAGAAAAGATGAGGCTACTGACAAGAGCCATGAAATTTGCAACCAAACCTTTCAATTATTATCGTTTTGGAGCATTATCCATGCACTATGATGGCAATTCTCTTCAATTTGCTCTGGTTAAATTTTTCTTAATGGCAGCTGCGAAGAAAGAGATGCCATTCATTGGTCCTATCATGCATTGTTCGCCATGTATAAATCAAGTAAAGAGATGCCACAAAAGTTAAACCCCTTCCCATATGCATCAGCTATTAGTCTTCTTTCCTTTAAAAAAAAAAAAGTTCCTGATAGAAAATCTACAAGTTCAAGCTCCCGGCTGTCAAGGAAGAGGAGAAAAAAGAAGAGAAAGAATACAAACCTGAAATCCTAACAGTTTTCAATCGCTTTTTTTCCTCTGAAATTCTTGCTTGTTTGTCCTGGTATATTTTCCAGCGCCTATCATCTATCAACCCAATGTCACGCCCCAAAGGTGTGAGACGACTATCAGCATTATCAGATCGAAGAAGCAATCGATGTTCTGAACGGCTAGAAAGGGGAGAAAAGGAGGAAGAAAATGACTCAATTAGATTTTATAAAGATGAGCTAAAGCCAAGTTTTCTAGGTCAAATAGACATCAACCTAGTTTCAATGTCAACATATGAATTGTCTTTTTCTAGCAAAAAGTAGCAGGCAGCTCAAGACTACAAAAACATCCTTAGAAAACATCCAGCTAACAATCTACAATGAGTACGGGATACAAAGGATATTTATTTGTCCAGCTGATAGAAAGAACTCTTCAAAAGCTTTTTCCCTTTCTTTTATCCTAGTCTCAAAATAGTCCAGTAAGATTTTCAGAAAATTGGGGTTGATGGCTTTTATAACCATAGCTAAGTACTACATGATGATTCCTATCCCTCAAAATGTTAATGCATCCCCAATTTAAATTTATGCACTTACTTCAGAAACCAACAATCATTTTTTTATGAAAACTAAGTAAATTTATTCCGAGTTCATTACTTATTATTTATTGAACAACATGCCAGGTAAGGGAGAACAAGACTCATTGTCTTGCTCAGTATGGTACAAATATCAAAGAACATAAAATTTGTCAGAGTGTACTCAAACCAAACAGATTTTAGTATGAACTATTGCTGCTGCTCTTTTCTTTTCTCCCTCAGTTCTTTTTTTTTCTTCCAGGGTTGGCAACGCAGGAGGGATCCCACAAAACCAAGCAAGAAAATTAAAGTGTAACCCTACATTTTGGTTGTTTCAAGAGACACATGGATAGAATGACATTTATCTTTTTCCTTCCTCCTTTTTCCCTACCCAAGATTTGGCAAAGCAGTTAGTGTTTGAACGGTTTTTAATGCTTCGGTTTCAATAACAATACTCATTTCAGTTCATTTTCATCTTGTGAAACAAAAAAACTGAAATAATCTAAGCCAAACCAAATTGAACTTTTAATAATTGAAATGCTAATTTTTATTTTTACAAAATAGAAAAAAACATTTTCTTTTATAATTTAAAAAGATAAACTCATAAAATTATAGCCAATAAAAAGCCTTTGAAAAAAAATAGCTAAAAAAAACCTAAGCAACCAAAACATAAGAACTTGGTTCGGTTTGATTCAGATTTTACACAATTCTATTTTATTTCAGTTTTTCTTTTTCATTGAAAACCTGAATATTTCAATTTACTTAAAATTTTTTAAAGAAAAAACGAAGCGAACCATATACAACTCTATTTAAAAGGACTGCAAAGTAACTCTAAATAAATGTAGATTCAAGCATGATTATATAGAAAAGATAACAAATCCCTTTTTGAACATGCATCACCACCAGGTCTAGAACACAGAAAGCACCATTACTTCAGCTAATACATGACAGCGAAACAACCAATTATAAAAACATTCTGTGAAATTGAATGAGGATTAAAAGATCTCTGAAATTCATATACATCTGAACATGAGAAACTAAATGTAACAGCAAATGTGAGGAATGTGTTTAACCACAAATCACCCAATTCTCAAACACGAAAGCAACAGCAAAAAGGATTAGCATGATAAGGCGTAGAAAACAATCATAACAACATCATGAATTTGGGTTGCTTACCTTGTTAACATGCGGTAAGGCTCTCGAAGATCCTTAGTGACCAGATCATCAATCAGTGTTCCTATGTAACTGCTTTCCCGCTCAAGAACAATAAGAGGCTTACCATCTGAATGCCTGGCAGCATTAATACCAGAAATGATGCCCTGTACCAAATAATTTCAAAAAAAGAAAAATAATAAAAAGGAGCCACATGGGTTTGT